ATCGTTGGCTGGATGGATGAATATAAGTTTATCGAGATGGTTGAAGGGTTGGGTGGATGGATCGATAGAGAGAAGTCAACGTAGATGGTTGGATGGATGGTTGGATGGAGGGATGGATGGATGGAGATAAGTCAACGTAGATGGTTGGATGAAGGGTTGGGTGGGTGGAGGGAGGGAGGGAAGGATGGATGGAGAGAAGTCAATGTAGATGGTTGGATGGATGGAGATAGGTCAAGTAGATGGTTGGAAGGATGGAGATAAGTCTATGAAGCTGGTTGAAGGGTTGGGTTGATGGATGGATGGAGGGATGGATGGAGGGATGGAGATAAGTCAATGTAGATGGTTGGATGGATGGATGGATGGTTGGATGGAGATAAGTCAACGTAGATGGTTAGAAGGATGGAGAGAAGTCTATGGAGATGGTTGAAGGGTTGGGTTGATGGATAGATGGATGGACATAGGTCAACGTAGATGGTTGGATGGGTGGGTGGATGGATGGATGGATGGAGATAAGTCAACGTAGATGGTTGGAGGGATGGAGGGATGGAGATAGGTCAAGTAGATGGTTGGAAGGATGGAGATAAGTCTATGAAGCTGGTTGAAGGGTTGGGTTGATGGATGGATGGAGGGATGGATGGAGGGATGGAGATAAGTCAACGTAGACGGTTGGATGGATGGAGGGATGGAGATAAGTCAACGTAGATGGTTGGGTGGGTGGATGGAAGGAGGGAAGGAGGGATGGAGATAAGTCAACGTAGATGGATGGTTGTTTGGGTGGGTGGATGGAGATAAGTCTATGGAGATGATTGAAGGGTTGGGTTGATGGATGGATGGAGATAAGTCAACATAGATGATTGGATGAAGAGGTGGGTGGATGAATGGATGGATGGAGATGGTTGGCTGGATGGATGAAGATAAGTTTATGGAGATGGTTGAAGGGTTGGGTGGATGGATGGATAGAGAGAAGTCAACGTAGATGGTTGGAGGGATGGATGGATGGAGATAGGTCAAGTAGATGGGTGAATGGATGGAGATAGGTCTATGGAGATGGTTGAAGGGTTGGGTGGATGGATGGATGGATGGATGGATGGATGGGAGATAAGTCAATGTACTTGGTTGGATGGATGGATGGAGTTAAGTCAATGTATATGGATGGAGGTAGGTCAAGTAGATGGTTGGATGGAAGGAGATAAGTCTATGGAGATGGTTGAAGGGGTGGATGGATGGATGGAGGGATGGATGGATGGAGATAGGTCAAGTAGATGGTTGAAGGGTTGGGTGGATGGATGGATGGATGGATGGAGATAAGTCAATGTAGATGGTTGGATGGATGGAGATAAGTCTGTGGAGATGGTTGAAGGGTTGGGTTGATGGATGGATGGATGGAGATAGGTCAAGTGGATGGATGGATGGATGGATGGATGGATGGATGGGAGAAGAACCGATGGGATGGGATGGGATGGGATGGGATGGGATGGGATGGGAGAAGAACCCATGGGATGGGACGGGAGAAGAACCCATGGGATGGGGTGGGAGAAGAACCCATGGGGTGGGGTGGGGTGATGTCCAGGCCCCACTGACGCCCTCACCCGCAGGGACCCCAACGAGCCGTGGGAGCGGGAGCGGCGGTGGCCACCGTACACGGCCTCGGGGCAACGCTACGCCCGGCTCAACGCCCACCCCCTGGCCGTGGCCCAGGGCCTCCGCGCCCAACCCTGCGCCTTCTGGACACGCTTCCTCCCCAAGCTCCTCAACGTCACCGGTGAGGGGACAACTGGGACCCGGAGCTGGGGGGGGACACGGGGAGGTGGAGAACATGGGGAGGTGGCACCAGGGATGTGGAGAACATGGAGAACATGGGGATGGGAGGTGGCACCAGGGACATGGAGAACGTGGGGAGGTGGCACCAGGGATGTGGAGAACATGGGGATGGGGAGAACATGGGGAGGTGGCACCAGGGACACGGGGACATGGGGATGGGAGGTGGCACCAGGGACGTGGAGAACATGGGGACATGAGGATGGGAGGTGGCACCAGGGACATGGAGAACATTGAGAACATGGGGAGGTGGCACCAGGGACATGGACAAGGTGGGGAGGTGGCACCAGGGACGTGGAGAAGGTGGGGACATGGGGACATGGGGAGGTGGCACCAGGGACATGGAGAAGACTGGGAGATGACATGGGGGAGGTGGCATGAGGGACATGGAGACATGGGGATGGGAGGTGGCACCAGGGACGTGGAGAACATGGGGAGGTGGCACCAGGGATGTGGAGAACATGGGGAGGTGACACGGGGGACGTGGAGAAGGTGGGGACATGGGGATGTGGGCATGGGGCACCAGGGATGTGGAGAACGTGGGGAGATGACACGGAGGAGGTGGCACCAGGGACATGGGGGCAT